AGCTACAAATATTCTGAAAGTGTTCCTGTTTTCCACTCACATTTTGAGAAAAAATGATGGCCCCAAAGGATTAATGTCTGAGAACAGCACAGAAGCCTTACAGATTTGGAACCTTTCCTTCCAGCAGTTCACAAAAGCTTGAACTTTCTGAAGCTCACAGTACAACATTATAATCTTTGCCAAATATTGAGCATGACTACAGTACAAATACACAGCTACACCAAATATACACAGAGGACACATCAAAATAAAGCCCACAAAACATATGGCCAAGTAGACACTGCTATGGAAGTATACTGGAGGCCTAATATAGATCCACTGTGGGCCTCAGAGTTCTGTAGAATAGTAACCATGGTTAGGAAAACCAAATCTTTGTTGTCCCTAAACCTTGTTGTAAAATTATGCTAATGATGACTAATCCTTGACTCTAATGAGCAATCAAACTTAAGCACAGAATCCTGAACAACATGTAGCTTTTAAGCTTTGAATAAATACACATTTCCAGGGACACAATAATCTGTATCTTGGGGAATAAGGAAAAGAAGCAGTAACTAATTTGGATAAGGGTAAAGTATTTAATAGAAAGCTATTATTGTGGCTTTTAAATATACCAATGTTTCCTTGTTTCAGCCTGACAAACAAAATGCAAGCCCTCTGTACAGCCATTTGTCAGATGCAGATTGTAATTGGGTCCAAATCCACTAAATCACTCTAACTAAAATTAATTAAAGTTGCATTGCTATTCCTAAGGAATTTCTGCAAGTAATGTAAAATGTATTGAAATTCCACACTTTTTCTGCAAAGGAAATGAGCAGTAAGAGAAGATAAAACTACATCAAAAAATATGCGCTCTTTCCTAGTGCTTAATAAGAATAACCAAAACCTTTTGACAGCACAGGTAACAAATTCACACCAAACCTTCTCCTGACACATGCCACACTCAAAGGAGACAACCCCAACAATTTGTATCATTGCTGCAGTGATGTGACAATTTGCAGCTAAAGAGAAAATGGGTGTGTGTCTGTTATTTCAATGACACTTTGCAGTGTTGAATAATGATGCACCTGAACATCCTTTGGACAATTGAAAATCTCTTCATCTAGGACAAGACAGCTGACATTTGTGACAGAAGCAGTCATAAATTTGATTTTTGGATGTCATATGAAAAGGACATCACTGTGCTGTAATGTTAAACATCAAAGCATTATTTACTGATGCAGGCTCCCAAAGAAGAAAATGGGTTTCCTTTTGGTGGTATATTCTCTACTTAAAGCAATATGGTTGGGAAAACTTCAATATGAGTAGGTACAGGCTTGGAATACCTCAGTATGCCAAGGGTACAAAAGTCACACATAAATGACAAAAATATGGGACAGTCCCTGGACATTTCCAGGCCTGAAATTCCTTTAAGGAAAGAAACAATAAATAAAGGGCTCTGAGTTTGCTTGTGGCACAGAAAAACCCAGAAAAAAAGTTTGATAGTGAGGATCCCCGTATACTTTCAGGGGATTTAGCGTCTTAAACTGTGCCCTTTGCTGCCACCACGTGGCCTTGCCGCAAGACACTTTTTGATACAGAAAAATAAAAGTTTCCTCCTTTCATTTATATCTCAAATACAGCCTTTAATAAATAAGCCATGTTGCTCATCTGTTACACAGCTCAAAATCACTGCTTAATTTTAAGAATCTAAATGACCTAAGATAATAAATGTACACCCAAGTCCCTCACTTTTTAAAAAAGTATTCAGTAGTATTTTGATAACAGATATGGTCACCAGATATTCAGTTCCGACTACAAGACCAGTGACGTTACACTAGTGATCAGTGGATTAGTGCCCTACACTATGAAATACCTAAAAGGAAACATCACAGGAAAAAAAAAAAAAAACAACAGTGACTTTAAATTTGAAAAGACACATTCCAATTTGTCACAAGATTTTTATTTCAAATCGTCATGCTTTCACCCAGCAGACAATGTAATTCAAATACCAGCAACTCGTTCACATAATTATAGAACTGTTAACACTGGAAAAGACCTCCATGGCCATCAAACCCAACTGTCTACTGAGAACCAGTGTATTTACCACTAAACATATCCCCAAGAGCCACATCTTTTTGAACACTTCCAGAGACTGTGATTCCACCACTTCCCTGGACAGTCTGTTCCAATGCTCTACGACCCTTTCTGTGAAGTATTTTTTTTTTCCAATATCCAACACACACCACCCTGGCACAATTTGAGGCCATTCCATCTCATCCTGTCAGTAGATGCCTGGGAGAAGAGATGGACCCCACCTCGCTACAGCTTCCTTTCAGGTCATTGTAGGTGGTGACAGGGCCTCCCCTAAGTCTCCTTTATTACAGAATACACAAACCCTGAGCCACTTCTCTTATGACTCCTTCCCCAGCCTCATTGCCCTTCTCTGGCCATGCTCTGGCATCTCAATGTCTGTCTTGTAGTGAGGGGCCCAGAACTGAACACAATATTCAGCTTGTGCTCTTCCCTGAAAATTCAAGTCCCTCATGCTACATTTTGTTAAGGGATATACTCACACTATTTTAGGTTTGCTGCACTAAGACACATGTGAAATGTCTTTAAAAAGTACTTTTAAAAAATCCCCAAATTTTGGCAACTGTAAAATGTACCTTTTTTAGCTATGGTTATATGACAGAGCTTTCAGGTTTCTTGAGCCCTCAAAAGGGCTTTTGCTGTAGTCATCCATGCTGGCATAATGCAGGAAGTATGACTTTCCTACTTGTGTGCCAGAAAGGGATTTTCATTGATGAGACCAAACATCTGACACAAAGAAACTTATCAGAATCCCTCTGGTGCCAGAACCCAGAGAAAGGTGATCCAGAGACATTGCAAGGAGAAAAGAAAAAAAAAGGCAGAAAAAAAGAACATTTTTCACTTAGTCTTGTAGACAGGAAGGCTTTCATAGCCCTTGTATTGAATGATATGTAATCTGGCATGCCTGTGTTTCCTAGGAGCCCACAGGCTCAAAGGTCAGTGTCTCTGCACAAACACCATAACCTTCATGCAGGCAAACTCTGACCTTCATCCTGGAAACCAGGCTCTCTGGTGACAGTCATTTCAGCAAGGCACTGTGGTAAAAGATATAGACAGAGCTGTTCTTTTGCACAGAAGTACAAACCATGAAGCAAATAACTTTCATAAGGATTACATTTACTCAGGAAAAAAAAATGCACTCCTTGAATCACTTCATTAGGGCAATATGGAGCAGTTGGGTTTGATGACATTTGTTGTAGAAACCCTCTTTTCAAATGTACTACGCATTGTTCTAGCCCAGCTTTGAGAGGACTGATCCAAGAGCTCTGTTTTACTGATGATTTAAATTCTGTTGTTTGAGACTAAAACTGTTTGCTCCATATGCTTTCTTGCTGGAATGGAGAGCCAGCCTGTCTGTAATGAGCCCTCAGCCCACTTTGGAAAGAGCCATGCAATTCCATGAGGACATTATGGTGAACCTTCCAAAAGGTTCACAACACATCCAGAGCTGGGGTACAAACTCCAGGAAAGGAGAGGCTTCACCCCACAGAAAGCAAGAGGGCACATTGTGGGCACAGCTATTTTAGTACTAGGCTGTGCCTGTTTCCATGGATGTGGATGCTGATGGCCACCCAATCTCTTCAGAGCAGCTAATGGAAGCTTGTAGCAGAGACAGGAAGCAGGAACGAGGACGGACAAATGAAATCTGATTTCCAGACATGAGTCAGGCTTTCAAGGTTCTTAATGCTTTGTCTAACAGCTAGCTGGTTTTAGTTTATGGAACATTAGAAAGACCAAATATAAATCTTAACATGATACCAATAATAGTATGACTATGTAAATAGGGAAGCCAGAAACCTGCAATGCTCCCCACCTCCTCCTCCTAATTAGCCCACCTGTTATTGAGCATTCATATTTACCACGTCATTACTGTGATTGTTTCATAAAACAGTCGATGAGTCTGCTGCTTTACTTGCCTTCCTCAAACCAATACATTCAGTCTCCATGTCACAATCTCATGATCATCCCAGCTGGTCTGTGCTTATGCTCATTCAGTGACAGGCAGTCTGCCTCCCACTCACCTTTTACTTTATGTCACATTTTTTACAGGACTTTGAACACTGCACATTTTTGTTGACATGCTTAAGATCTGTAACACACCACACCACAGCCCAGTACTCATCATCAGTCTGTTGGTATGGCTCTGATATTCTGCTAGGAACAAGGAATTTAATTACTTGCACTGTTGTTCAACTCATAATTTATTTGGATTTCTTATTCCTTGCTGGGAAGTCTTTAGATGCTATCTTGCTTTTCATAAACAACATTGCGTGGGTTTTTTTCCAATGAACTAATTTTGTACATATTAGATATGTACAAATATAGATTTTCTCAGGAAAATTAACACATGAAAGTGTCGACGTAATTGGAGAAAGCAGGCCTTAAGACAGAAAATTAATATAAAGAGGTCCATTTAAAATAATTCATATATAATAGATGGCTGTTCATGTCTCAGCCAAACACAATTTTGCTCTGTCAGAGCACCTTATGGGGAAAAAAATTAAGAATATTCTAAACAAATTAGATCAGCAAATATTATTGTACATAACCAAAACAGAACTATACTACCCATTTAATATCCATGAGCTTCCTCAAATTTAGATATTTCAACTACTTTTAACTCTAAACTTCCTCCCCAGGCACAATGGTAATGGCTAATCTTGTAAACCACTCAGCCCTAATTCAAATCAAATTTGTTTAGCTACAATTTTAATTTTTTTTTTAAAGGCATAATATTCATTATTACTATGATTTAACAGTTGCTAACATTAGTCTAGGATTCAATTTTTTATAACTAATACTTTAATCCTCTGGGCTAATTAACCAATTAAATTACTATTCCACCTAAATTCAGAAAGCAGAGGAATAAAAAAGTTTACAGTAAAGTATATTCTAGAGCAAAAGAGACAAAAATAAACTCTGGAACCTACCTCATATTCCCTGCCATAATGAGGAACAGGTTATAAATGTGAGAAAATATGAAGAGGAAGAGGATGGTACTGAAGAACATCGTCATCCAAGACCCATGGTCCTCTCGAAACATTTTCAGACGGAGCAACTGACCTGTGGTACAAAAATTATGAGAAGGTGTATTTTACTCAGTCAGTAAATACATGTCTACATCATAGTAAAACCAAAATAAACTACTAAACTGTATTTGTTCCTATAGCACATTATTCCACAGTGTGTGAGGAGGACATACCTAGCATCATGCAGATGAAGTACCCTTCTGTAGTTCAACATGAACAGATATTGCTACAAAATCACAAATTACTTGCAATCCAAAGGGGGGAAAAATGCAACAATAACTTGTTAATATCAGTATTTTTAAGAGATGATGAGAAAGACCACAGGCCACAACAATGCATTTCAAGTGCTTAAAAAGGTTACTGATTCATACATAATTTTATTTTTTGTGTCCAAGACAGCTTTTCATGTCTAAGACCGTGTGAATTATTTGAGGTATGTCCACTGACAAATACTATTTACTTCCCTAATTTAATTTGGTAATCAAATTATGAGTCTGTGTAGAATCTTGTACTGAATGTTTTCCTTAGATCTAATCACTTTAATCATATGATATTGTATTATACTTTATTCTGCAAAGAATACCTTTTTTCAAACAATACTGGTGTGTCTTGCCACTGGAAAAGAAGCTCTGCTTACTCTTGCCACTGGTGTTAGGTGAAACTTTTATTATATTTTTGCCGCAAACATATTTTTCCCGGGCTAGCTTTCCTTCTCTGTCATCTCTTACTGTTAGACAATTGTTTAGAGTATTGAAAACCTCACCAGCACAAGAGATGGGAATTTGCTTTTGCAAGGCTGAGAGTGCCACAGGAGAAGCCAAGAGGGGCTAAAGGAAGACAAGGGATAATTCAAGCAGCAAAGTGAAGGACAGCATCTACCAAGGAGACAGAACAGTCCAGTGCTAGAAGATGGGAAAACAGGGAGAACAGAAGTCATATGAGGAGCTGGACAGGAAGTGTCTGGAGAAGTGATATAGCAGACTGAGATGTAAAATGGTCTGGGATGGAGGCAATTTTTCTCAGCTGGTTGTTGAACTACTAAGTCCACATTTAGCATTGATTAGGGCTGGATACAGATGGAAGCTATAAAGTGGGAGAAAATAACAACAAGTTTGAAATGCTCATTCAGACAGACAGGAAGATTCCAGGACTGGTATTTGCTACTGAAGATGGAGAGGCAGGTTTGGAGGAGGAAGACTTGAGGACCTGGAGCAGACATGGGCTATGGGCTGAAGAGGTAGGATGTGAACTCTGGATTAAGCAGCTGGAGGACGAGAGTTCTTTGAAAAAGCTGAGACTTTGGAATGATGTGGAAACCATGAGGCAAGAGAAGTGACAGGTCCATAGAGGAGGGGTGAATGAAGCTCTACAATGGGACAAGAGCAACACAGGTCCACCGACCAGTCCAGTAGTAGGGTAGCAACAAGGTTTCTGTGAGTGAAGTGAAGAAAGGGAAAGTGCAAACACACATATACAGTGCAAACACACATATTCATGCCCCAAGCCCCTGTACTCCTCTACGTTTTCACTGCTGGAAACCATGACAGCCCCAGGCCTGGCTAGATTGAGGGTGTCCCATAAGTCTGTCCTTCCCTAAGGAGCAAGCTGAGGCTGCTATGGCAATGGCATATTATCCTGACTTACTGAGAGGAGGGGCTTAATGATAAAAGATATTTCCCTTGCAGTTTGAATCCTGCTCTCTGAACAGCTGCCATTGCATATGGAATACTACCAACACCTTGGATAATAAGCAGTGCGCACAAAATAGAGTTGTGATTTCAGGAGGTCCAGATTAATGGAGAGAAAGAATACAGCCTGGAATCTAGACTTCTGTAAAACAGATAACTCCAACTTTTCTAAATCAGGTAAGAGGAAAGATTTAATAAATATTCATTGCACCTGTATCCTCCAAAGCAACGTTTTTTCCTATTTAGTTATTACACACTGATTAATACCTACTAATATGTATAAATATCATATTCTTAAAATAATATTTTCATAAATACTGTCTTCAGTAGGCAAATTCTTCCACTTTAACTTTCCTTCTACTGTAGCTTGTGTTTGCCATATGAGACTTCATTAACTCTCAAGCAGGGTTCATCAACATAATTTTTTAATGAAAGAAATAGTACTTTAATCACAACACTGATATGTAAAAATGAAAGGAATTGAATATTAGCACAATCTTCCTACCTAACTGCATACAAATGTCGCAGCTGTTACTTATTGCTCCCACCGTACCAGTAAGTATAACATGCTAAAAGCACTTAAACTAAAAGATGTTAAATGATCCACATAATGCTCACATTGTTTTATACATCCTTTCACATCAATTCAGTTGAAATAAAAATGGGTGATCAGATGATTGCCTAACAGGCAAGTTGTTAAACTAAAAATTGCAAATAATGCTTATTATTTTTATAACAAAAACTAGGAGTCTGTGTAGTGCTTTGTTTTTATAAAATGAGCTAAAAGGTTACACACAACAGAAATATTATGGGGTGTGAATGGTCAGAAATTTGGAAAACCTATCTAGTAACTGGAATAGACTTGTACTAGATTAAAGTAAAATTCAATACAGCCCTACAAAATTCTCAGAGTAATTTCAGAAAAATAAAACAGTTCATGTAAAATTAGGGCTTTTACCATAAAGAATAGCAAACAAAAAGTAGCAAGGGGAAAAGATAAGGAATAATAATACACAAAATAAGCTTTTGACTCAGCTTTCTTTTTTGGTTTTTGTTTTTTGGGGTCTGTTTTGCTTCAGGGAAAATTTGTTGCTTATTTGAACTTGTTAAAAATGTAAAATAAACTCTGACAGGTATGACAGAGAAGAACATGGTTATTAGGATATATTTACACATAAAAAATTATACACTTAAAAAACCCCAAATAAATGTGTTAAGCCTAATGGACCTTTGCAAATGCAAGTTAAATGACATATGAATGACCACCAGGGATAAACTGTGAATTAACTATATACAAAAATCAAGATTGTCATATCATAATGTTTCCTAGCTCCATCAGAAGTTTCCTCAAAATGTAATTTATTACTGTAAACAGGTCTTTTTATCTGCTCCAAGGCTTTGGAGAGCACATCAACAGTACTAGGGGAACACAGGGTAGCAGAGATGTCAGCTTTAGGGTCCTGCAACAAACCAGGCAGTAACCAACCAGTATTTTTTTTTCCAGTCCAAGAGAAAAGACAACAATAGGCAGATACAAAAAATTGAGTCAAACAGGTCACTTTTTAAAAAACTAAAGTTTTTCCAGTATCTTTAGATCCACAGCCCGTAAGATGGTTGCACTCATTAAACTGCAGAAGCAGAAACAAGAGAAACAGTAAGTTCTTACCCATGCATTTAAGCATGCTTTGTTGTCTTAATTATGAGTGATGGAAACCATAAACTTCAACCATTTCCTGGGCATATTTGTAATATTCTAACACCAAGCTCTTCACTGAATGAGATGTATTCCTTTAATTCTGGGTGCACCATCAAGGTATTGCTCTTTCTGCCTACTTAGTGCTCCGGGTCATCTTCATCTATGACTGAAACTGTTCAACTGAAAAATTAACCTCAATAACTGGGAAGTATTTTTTAACCTTGAAAATCAATTCTACTTTCATCAAGTTTCATCAAAGTTTGGCAAGTCTGATTTTAGCCAGTACTAACAATACATGCACACTATAATGCCATGGTGCTGTTGCTCATTCTGCCCCAATACAATATGTGTATGTGTGTTGGCTGGCTTTGCTTAAGAAAACATGGACTTAGCAATGAATGCTGTAATGTTCAGAAAGTTTTCTTAAAATACAGATGCAAAATTTGGGATTCAAACTGTGAAGACAATCTAGTCACATCCTGTAGCTTTAGTTATGCTGTTGGTGCTAAGACAGAAGACAGAAAACTTGCTATTATCTGATATAAAAAAATGTCACTTCTGAAAATTATTACAGCACATATCTTCTGGACATCAGGATAGCTCCAATGGCTTCAGCATAGAGCAGGACATGCTGCCTGTCTTCCTGCATGCAGTCAGACTGCATCTGTGATTGTATAGGCTTTAAATTCTTCTGATGGAAGACCAGGAGATCCTGGAATAGCACCAAGCTGGGGGTCAAACCTTTTGTGTTTTCCTCTTGCTTATTAAGTTATCTCAGGAAAGGTTCTTTTTATCTCTCCACCTGTTCCTCTTGAGTGACCCTCAAAGTCACTCACTTCAGTTGCACAGCACAGCTTCAAGAACCAAGGCTTATTTATGGTCTCTAAGCTCTACTACAATACAAAGAATTAACAGGAGACAGCAGAAATATTTTAGAAAATTCAAACAGGAATCCCAAGGTAGACATGGGGGAAATACCTACAAAACCAGACATATTTTCTAATGACTCTCTGAGCTCCAAATGCACCTTACACAGCTGGGCAGCTCCATCCCCTTCAGCTACAAAACCAGCTTCACACAGCTCAGCCCCGAGTGCAGCCCAGCAAACTGAAGGTGATGAAGGAGATAGGGGTTTTGCTTTGTTCAAGTCTGTGACTGCCCTAACACAGCTACAAGGCTGCACATCCAGACTTTATATGGCCAACTTGGAGCAAAGCAGAGCAGGTGGCACAGCTGTTTGCCTCCCTCCATTTAGACTTACCCATAGCCCTTGGCCAGAGGCTCAATAAGATTGGGAACCTGGCATTACAATTCCCTGGTGCAGCTATGGCCATACTGTCTGTAGCCAGTTTAGGACTTACTTATACTGCCATTTGTAAGTACTGAAAAGGAAGGCAGAGAGGTAGGAAACACCATTTAATACAAACTCTAGCCAAGAGGGTTTTAGGAAAATATAAATTTCCTATACCTATTCAAACTACTTTTAATTGAACATATCATGAGAAAACGTTACTTAACTATCTTTCACGTTTTAAAGAATTTACAGGGATATCTTATAAATGTCACAAGAAAACAATTACACAGTTTGTGTAATTTTTTATATTCACAAAGGCTAAGGAGCAGGGAAAGTATAGCTACCTTAGGTTAAAGTCCACTGCTTCAATACTTTAAAAAATACATTTATAGAACAAACAGTCCCCACCTGTGAAATACACTGTGAGTAGAACAGATGGTTTTCTATCTCCATCATTTCCTGGAAAGTCATTTGACTGCCTTTGTTGCTGAGCTTCTAGAAAAACCACTTTCCTTCCTAATTGTGTTGAGTACAGTCTAAAACAGATTTTTGTCAGGTAGCTGAGTGGACCATAAACTTGCAAAGCACAATAATGCAGTCTTTATTTAGCAGGTCTTCACTGCTTCTTCTGTTTGTTATTGTTTGACCCATGTATGTGAACATACCTTTGGAAAAGTCTTAATGTATTAAGCTTGACATGAAAGGAAAGCATTACCTTAGGAAAAAAATCCACTATTGCCAACTCAATGGTTGAAGATGTTTCAAAATTTTCAATTAATCAATAACATTCTGAAAAGGTCCTTTCTTCCACTCAAAGTGTGGCCTGTACTGATGAAAATTTTATTCTGTCATCCTAGCAAGCACTAGAGTGGACTCTGATCTATAAATCGCTGTTTGGATGATCCTCACAAAAAGCTTCTACTTGGACAAACCTCACAGTTTGGCATCATTTGGAAATTTTCTAGAAACATAACAAACTACAATTGGTGACAGCTCATTCTGACAATATCCTAGCCTTTGGCTTTATTAGGAGAAAAAAAAAACCATTAGAATTAAGCATAAGACTTAATAAGCAGTAAAAACTTGCTTTGAAAAATACATTGCAGATCTATATTCTACATATTCCATAATGGGAATTGATACAAAGTAGGCCATAACTTTAGATGAAAAGAATATTCTCTAACCCTACCAAAGCACAATCTTTTAATCCTGGGACAAATATTTACAGAAGAAAATCAAAGAAAAAGGTCAAAAAAAGCACTTTGTCTAGCACTTTAGACTGAAAAGTTTCTGTGGCCTTCACTAAAAGCAGAATTCTATCCTCATTTGTTTTGATGCTGTTTTGTGATCTCAGTCGCAGCTCAGGGCACAGCTGCCCACATGAAGCTTGCCCCTAGGCCCCATATGGATGCTCAAGGCAATCAAAGCAATGATGGAATGAGCACGGGCAATTACTGTCCTTCTGTCACCTCCTCTGCTTTTTCCAAAGATAGATTAGTGGCCAAGGGACACTGCTCTCACTTGAGAGTGCACACTTTTTTTCTCACATCCATCGTACACTACAGTAAATAGCAAAGAGGAAAGTACATAAAGCTTCCCATATAAGTTCATGAAGATCTGCTTGTGTGGGTGTTGTAGAGTAAGCTGTGTTACCTACTTGAAGTTTACATTTCTTTCAGATAGAGGAGAGAGTTTGTACATTATACTGTGTTCTGAATTCTTTTGCCAGTTCAAACACTGAATTTAACTTATAATTTTTGAATTTTAAATGCAATGTATCCAACTCTGTTTTTATTTTAAAGGCTGTTGGTCTCTCTTTTCCCTTCAGGCATACCCCGTGGACAGATGATGAATGGTACATGCATAATTTTCATTTGCAACAGAAATCCTAAGCTGGAGTGGTACTGTTATTTGCTGATTCTGGTTTGCCTTTTCACTTTATTAACAGGATTTCTAGGCAATATGCTTGCACTACGACACTATGTTTACTGCATGAAGACATGGACTACCAATACCATATTTCTCTTTAATTTGGCATTGTGTGACTTTACTTGGACTCTCGTGGCACCTTTTTCAGTATATTATAATATCCAGAAGTTTGCTATCTATTTCAGTCAAGAGTTTTATCAGATCATAGGACTATTTTTTAGTATTAATATCTATGGAAGTGTGTATTTCCTGACACTCATCAGTTTTGACAGATACATAGGTGCTGTTCATCCCATCAGCTCATTGACATGGTGGGACAAAGAAAAGGCTGTGTTTTGCACCATCGGGGTTTGGATCTTCATAGCGATTGCATCGGGGCCTGAGATTTACTACACACTTGCATCTAGAAGACAGCACAGCATCACGGATCACCCGGATATCACTGAAGAACCTTTACAATTTGCCGTGCCATTCACAGTCTCCAAAATTATTCTGAGATTCCTAATTCCAGCCACAGTCATCTTTACGTGCTATATGTTGACTCTCAAAGCGTTGCTGCAATTCAGTAAACGCCAGCAAAGAAGGAACAGACTTGTTAGGCCTCTCTTACTGATTTCAGCTGCTATGGTTGTGTTTGCTGTTTCTTTCTTACCTTACCATGTCATGATGATGGTGATACTAATGTACAGAATTAATTGTCAACCACCCTGTGGGAACATGGGCACATTAAGTGCCATTTACAAAGTCACAGAGATCATCTGCAGCATCAACAGTTGCCTTGACCCAATCATTTTTACAATAGCAAATAAGACATTCTATGAAAGAATTAAAAGTATAAAATGTCATCCCAAATGCCAGTACTGCTGTTGTCTGACAGGAAGGGTAAGGGACATCACCCTGTCCCTGAGAACTATGACTTAAACTCCAGTGTACAAAGACTTGTATTTCCAGCTGCTCATGTGGCTTTGTGTCATCAGACCTATTTCATTTTTGGTCACCCACATTGTACAGATATCTCTTGAATAAGCAAGAATACACAGAAATGCAGAGTAAAACTTAACATGACAAGAAATACTAGCAGCTCCTAGCTTTACAGAACTGGCATTTTAAATATTCTTGTCATACCCTAATTTACTGTGAAATAATACTTCTATCTGTATGTACATGCAACATGGAATAAAAAATGATTAAAAGTTCTAAGTAGCTCCTTTAATTCTGGGAGAGAAAAATACAGCAAGATTAAGAGCAGACAGTGTTGAGGAGCCTCTTTATAGTTTCTGTGAATTATTTCTTCATCAGCTTGTAAGTGCTGCTATGATTGTGATTGTGCAATTAATAACTGTCAGAATGCTTACAGCTGAACTGCTTGAGCATTTGCAGAAAGCTTTCTACAAGTACTTCATTTTAATGCTGCTTTCTCTAGAGTTCCACTGGCAGTGGAACCTCATTAACCCAGGAAAGTACAGCACATTTCCAAAAACAAACAAACAAAAAATAAATAGTAAGATGAAGTCCCTGAGGATAGTCAGAGCCACGGCGAATCTGCTCATGAAACAAACAAGCATGGATTAGAGAGCTGTGCTAAGCCTTCTCCCAGGCAGCAGGTGTTCCCTCCAAACCCAGGCAACTGCAGTTGTTTGTTACTAGTGCTCTGCTTCAGGGGAGCCACTTGTTCTGCCATGAACTCTGAACTCCTCAACAGGGAGAAGTCTCCACTGGAAAAGCCCTGAAATGCAAGAAGGGTAAGAGATGCCACTGCACAGAATGCTTCTTCTCCTGTTCCTTCAGGGCCTTAGCATCACAGTTTCAGGACAGTCCAAGATAATTAGACTACAATACATTTTAGTCATTCAACCAGCACAACAGTCATCAGAACATCCACCTTCAAGAGTCATTAAATATGTGTTCTTTCACATCTTTCACATTGTACGGGCAAAATAATCCTGTTCCAGTAATCAGCCACCTGCTGACTTGTTTTTGTGCCAAGTTCCACATATTACCTTGTTAATTATGAAAACCCATGTATCAGTGAGCACATTAACTTTACTTTCAAAGTTACTGATGACGAAATAGATTTTAATATACTTTGTACAGTCTTAATTCTTTAATTTCCACTGTTTTAAATATAATTTTCTCCTTGTATGTATTATAAAATTATTCTATTCTATATGGGTATTCAATGTCTCTTGTTCTGTTCAATGGTATTGACTACATATATGAAAATAAAATCTAGAATTTTTTTTCAAATTGTCTGTAACCGTGATAAGAATCTGGTTCTGATAATCTGAAACACTTTACAAGTGTTCGGATGTACTATTACACTCACAAAATATCACAGGAAAATTGCATGCCTATGTGTACCTACTTCATTCTAAGTACTGCTTCTTTCCTTTGATAATTCTCAATATTTCAATTTTTCTTACTTTAAAAGAAAAATATTCTGTTTTTTAATATAATTGTTTATTGGAAACATGCCTCCATGTCTGCTTGCCTCCATTGTCTGTGTCCACAAGTTCCATAAAGCTCATTAATGATCTATCAATAAAGCCATCTATAACAGAGGTCCCAAGATGCTCACACACTTAAGAGAAAAAGGGGAGAAAAAAGAGAGTAACAACCTCATGCTTCTAGAAAAATTAGTCTCAACCAACCCTCAATAATGAAGAACAGAATGAAACAAAGCAAGTAAGGACATTGCTACAAAACACATCTGTGCCACGGTGCCTTTGCTTGCTGTTCTCCCAGCCTGGACATCTCATACAACGCGCTGAGTCTAAAAGCACTGCATAATCTTTAAAAAGAGATGCTTCCATCTCTCACCTCAAGATATTCCTGTTTCTCATGATACTCAGCAGTGAATATACTCTAGTAGCTGATAAGGGTTCTAGACATTTGTTTTCCTGATTATAACTAGTTATATAATCAATTAAACACTTTTTAAAAGCATTTTTGTTCAACTAGGCTGATCTAATGCTCATGTTGCCCTGATTGAAACCAAAGGTTTTCTGCAAAGTAAGAGTTAAAAGGCATAAGACATCTGTTCATATTTACTTGCTTGTAATTTTACTTTGAAATACATGCTCCTAAAATGTTTTATTATAATATTACCTGGATAGAATGACATAAACAAATAAAATTATATGTTTATTCCATTTTGCTACAGTAAGTGAACAATAAACTAAACAGCCAAGAGCCAAAGTAAACATCTTCTACTATGAAAAATATATTGCAATATTGGTTTCTCACTGACATTTGTTTGGATTAATTCTGAGGACATGGTATCCAGTTAAATACCTAACTATTATGAGTTTGAACACATTATAGTATATTGTAATAATGTATTAGCCTACAAAAGAGACTGCAAGGTCTAGGTAGCTTTTGTGTACCTTATCTAGATATTCTAACATCTTCATTACACATTCAACGAACACAAGAGAGACCATGGCCTGAAAGATTTGACCTTTTATGTACATGCTCAGCTATTGTCAGAGAAATAACTTTCTCATTTACTATTGTACATTCAGCATGGTTTTGTAAGCAAAAATTATTAAACCAAAAATCTCTACATTGAAGAGATAAATTTTGCTACAAATTTCCCAAAGTTGCTAAGGAAAGCATCTTTATATTCTCTATTTCTCTTTGTAATACTTTATTTGTTAAAATAAAAATGTTCAGATATTTCTTAAAGGTTGGTTTTCTCTTCAATATACATAAACGAGTGTATTCTGGTACCAAAGTTTTTCTTTGCCATGCCTCAGAATCACCTCACTTGGCAAAAAACTATATCAATACCACAATGCTATTAAAATATTTCACTACTGTACATCGCTTTAATCTGTGGAAGTCAAATCTCTTTAGACACAAGAAAAAATATCCCTAGACTGATTCTACAGCTGGAGGAGCCACAGCAGAGGCAGGTGATATGGCTAAGTCCATCCTCTGCCTCATAAAGAAATGTAACTTCTCTGCTCTTGCTTTAGAGAGACATCCAAGACTCTGAGGGGCCAAGTCTCCCTGGAGTCTGCAATCAAGAGATGATGGGGTGTGCTGGCCTCCTGCAGGGATCTATCAAACCCACAGCCCTCCCAAGTTCTCTTTTCAGGACTTCAGCTTGGCACTTACCAGCTTGGTGCCTTCCAGTTCACATGACGCAGCACAGATGGGGCTTCCTCCAGCTGGGAAAGGTGAACCCTAATCAGGGAGCACTGCAGCTCTCAGCTTCTGCAGTCTAAGGTAAAATGCAGCCTAATGTCACAAAAGGTAACAGTCAAGGTCTCAGCTACTGACCCAGCTGGAAAACTGATGTCCTCACACAGAACATTGTGTGCTAAGACAAAGGGAGCTTAGGATCTCGGGTTTCCCACCAGCTCAGCCAACACTGGTCAGAAGACTGATGTCTGTAGCCAGATGTCTTTCCACTGGGCTTCTTGTGCAGCCTGTCTTACCTGTTTTTGGTGGTCTCAAGGGCCTAATCTGAACTAATCTGTGTGAATGCACACAGGTGAAATGCATAGCACTCTGCCTTCCTTAGAGAAAGAAATGCCATTTTAGAAATGCCACATAGCCTTGAAAGATTTCTTGCTATTTCTCAAAGAAGGAAAGAATAGAATTTTCCATAAGAATGCACATTCATCTTTTAATACCAAAACAAGAAGAGGAGGATGGACTTTTGCTGCTGCAAGGAAAGAGCTGACACTTTCTTTTCTTAATGGATTACCCAGAGGCAAGAAAGAGCTGGGTGGTGATGGTCAGCACCATCTGCCATATCAAACCTTGCAGGAGGGTCCTGAAGGCACCACATCTCTGCTTTACATTCATGTCATTGCTACTACCAAGAAGCAATACTTTAGGCTGCTGATTTGAAAGAGTTGTAAAATGCATATAACCTGGGAAGGCCCAAGACTGTGCCAGAATTAATGTGTAGGCAGGCTTAATTCTGAATATTTCTGCACCTCTCAATTTCCATTATAGAGATTTAGCCTATAATTTTAATTTTAGCCTTTACTATTACTGATTTTATTACTTCAGGTTTAGACAATTGTGCTGATGCAGATAAAAGAAAACCTGTAAAAATAGATATTGATTTCCTGTAATGTTTTAGAACATTTTTAAATGGGGAAGTAACTGAAAACCCTGCATTAGCAACAGAAAATGCTAACGCATTTGTTCCTGAGAATTTTTAATTCTATGTGACCCAATCCCAGGTTACAAAACTAGCAGGAAAAAATAATTCTCTTTTTAAATGGCCTCACTGCATAGTTAAAAAAAAAGTTAGTTAGAGGACATGTAAGTATTTAATTATATTTTTGCACTCTTTATTCTTTTAGAATTTTTAGCATTTTTTAACTGCCAAACCTATGTAAGCAATTTCATGATCCTCCTTATTTTTTTAATTTTAGAGCCAAAATGTTTAAGCATCATATATGTCATTCTTCCAGAAACTACATCTTCCTTCTTTGAATTCTTTGGAACCCAAACCTCATAGCAGATAAAAGAAACATAGCAGTATTTATAGCCTGTGTCATGTTGATGCTGAACTCTGAAGGGAAGTGCTGAAATCTCTGTTCTGCAATACCAGTTTAGTGATGCTCTGCAACAACTTGTCAAAATAATCAGGGTTTTTCTACACTGTTTGTTCTTTTCTCCTGAAGCGAATTCACAAGCTTATTTTTAATAGTAAATAGAATTGCTTACACTGTATCTACTACACAGGCTTTTAAAATAAACATTTATAAAAAATTTTGAGTCAGAAAACAAAGCAGATTAAGCATGAGGTTTATTTTTTGTCTTCAATAAATATTTGCAACTCTGCTGTCTATTACGGAGACTGTGACTAAATCTCACATTGGACAAACAGGCACCCCATTACTGAGCATGTCTGTGTTTGCAGTGCAAAAAGTGGAGAATTGGTTTTGTGGGAC